TATAAATCTCCTTAAGAAGTTTATCTTGCCCAGCAGAGATTGCAGTTCCTTCTTGTTCGTTGGCGCTTTCGCTTCCAAGATTGCCTTCATCTTTTTCTGGTTGATTTTGATTCCTTTCTTGTGGACGACGAAGCCCAAGAAATCTCCAGCTTTCACACAGAATGCACACTTCAAAGGGTTCATCTTCAGACCATGCTTTCTCATTCTTTTGAATGATTGTCGAAGGTGATCTATATGGTTCTTCCTGGAAACAGATTTTACAACAATATCGTCAATATATACTTGCATGAAAGTGTTAATAAAATCATGGAAGATAGAGTTCATTGCTTGCTGATATATTGCCCCAGCGTTTTTTAGGCCAAAAGGCATTACTATCTATTCGTAAGTGCCTAAGGCCCCAGGGAATCGAAAAGCTATTTTCGACACATCTTCTTCAGCAATGAAAATTTGATTGTATCTTGAGTAACCGTCGAGCATGCTCAGGTACTCGTGGCCAGTGGCAGAGTCGACAAGCATTTCCGCCACAGGCATATGATATTCATCTTTGGGTGTTGCAACATTCAGATCTCTGAAATCTATGCACACCCTCAATGTACCATTTTTCTTAATAACTGGCACAATGTTTGCAATCCATTCGACGTACCTCGTAGTTCGTATGAATTTGTACTTCAGCAGTCTTTCGACTTCCATTTTGATCTCCGACAGTATTTCTGGAGCGAAGCGTCTTGGAGTTTGTTTGACAGGCTTTTTCCCAGGTTTGATTGGAAACTGAAGTTCTACCAATCTTCTATCGAGACCAGGCATCTCGTCGTAATCCCATGCAAAGCAGTCCTTGAACTCCTTCAGTAATTGGATCACTTCGACCCTGAGCTCTGGGTCTATTTTGGCACTGATGTAAGTGGGTCTTTTATCTAACCCTTCGCCCAAGTCGATTTCTTCTCAAAGGATCCTGTGCTAACATTTTGATGTTGTTCTCCAGGGGGTCCTTTTCAAAACCCAAAGGCTCATCGTCGTAGATGGCGTCGAGCCTCTGTTCCTGCATTCCTTCTGTCGAGATATCGGGAGGTTCTGGGTCGAAATCTTTTCCAGGACCTATATCTGGTGGCTCTGGGTCGAAATCTTTTCCAGGACCTGCAGAAGGTAGTACTTGGTCATTGGCCTTGGTGGCCATATATTTTACTTCGGCTTCGAGAGCCGCTATCATTCTTGTTTTGGCTACATAAGCTGAAATTCGCTGTAACGCTTGCGACTCAGTCATTATCACTGAATTCGCTTCCCCAACCAGTTGGCTGGATGTCAGTTAGCCCACTGAAATCAATGTGAGACGAGTCTTCTTTATCCCATTGAAACCCATGATCAGGATGCAGGTACAAGGAACAAAAAGCATTTGGCGCTGGCGCCATGTTGAAGTCAGGTGCTGGACATGGCCCAATGTGAGCCAAATTTTTGTCGAAGTCAGCTCTCCCTAGGTGATTAACTTCGCCTAAGTAGTAGCTCTGATCTGCTTCTATATTCTCGACAATCCCATCGGGACGCCATAATATCACCCTTTGGTGCATCGACGATGGTACTGCTCCGACACCATGTATCCATTCTCGGCCTAATAGTAGGTTGTAATTTGGTTTAGCCGATATGACCATGAACATGGTTGGTCGAAGGATGGATCCCACTTTGAGGTCTAGTTGAATCACACCCATGGTGGTCCCTATTCCGCCTTCGTAGTTCGATAGAACCATATTATGAGGCTTAATGTCTTCATCATTCTTGCCTACTTTTCTTAGCATGAAGTGGGGAATTATGTTGATAGTCGCCCCACAGTCCACCAAGATTTTGTTTACAGTGGCCTCTTCGAGCTTTACCCTTATGAATAAAGGCTTGAGGTGACTTTTCATCACCTCAGTTGGTGGTTCGAAGAAACCATTTTGCTCTTTAGTGCAGCCATTACCCATGACAAAGTAGCATAATGTCCTATGCTTGGCCATCTCTTGTTCGACTTTCCAGTCGTTTGCTTCTACTTCCATTTGGCGGTCGAATTCTCTTGGCAAGACCGAAACTATATTTATCATGATGTCTAATGTGTCGTCGGACTCGGGGCTATCTTTGTCACCAGCTTCGTCTTGATCAGGCCATACCAATCTATTGGCCACTGGTTCCCTCTCCAAAGGCTTTCTTTGCTTTCGCTGGGGGACATTTGAGCTCGACTCTGGTTTTGGTTCGTTGGCAGCCTCTCTCTCAGCCTTGCGCCGCCTTTGGTACCTTCTCCACTGGGATCGAGACATTGGGTTCTTTCCCTTGTAGTTACTCGATACTTGAGCAACTTTGGTGGCACCTATATGAGGTTCTTTCTTGAGTGTCAAAGATGAACCTCTTGGCACTTCAAAGGAATGCCACCTTTCTTCGTTGGGTCTCTTTCGACTCGATGTTTTGAGCCATGTATCGACTGACACATTGGCTGGAGGCCTGAAAGTTAGTGGCCTCTTTTCCTGACTTGAACCCTTTTGATAGGTTCTTCTAGGATCGTGTCGAACATCAGAGTTTGCACTTGTTTGGGAATTTCTGCTCCTTTTTTTGTTTGCTGCTCTCACACCTTCGATGTGTTCAATAGCTTTCTTGTCAAAAATAGAGTTGCATCGAGGACACAACATTACTTCTGATTTTTTCTTCTGGCATCGTTGCAAGAATTCTGCCAGATTTTCGTTCTCTCGGGGGAACGCTGTTTTGTTTGCTTGCTCTTGCCTGATGGCTTCCTCTGAAACTTTTGATTCAGAGATTTCGACCATGTTGACATTCATGTTGTCTTTAGTAGCAAGAGTCATTTGCTTCATTTGAGCCTCCAAGTCTTTTGTTTGGCCTTGCGTCGCAGCCAAGTAGGAAGTGGGTTTAGTTCCACATTTTGAGACTCCACTTGTTTCCAGTTTTGGGCCCTCAGCGGCCTTTTGGACTGCTTTGATTGTTTTTCTAGAAAGGTTCCCAGAAAAACTGCCAAATATTGGCATATTGATATGATCTTTGGTGATTTCGACCAGAGTTATCCCTGGCCTTTTCACCTGGCTCCTGGAAGCTTCGATCACATTTACCCCTGAGGGTTCAGCATAGTGGGCTTCCGCCTGCAAAGGGCTCGAGTCCACATTCACGGGGGCCTTGTCAGCGAACTTCAGCCTCCCTTCTTTAAACTCGTAAAATCAACACAAGGTCCCACCAGGTATGCCAATTTGTTTACCGTGAAAAATGGTAAACAACCGCTAATCTTCCAAAAGGTAACTTATTTGGTGACTCGCATGATCGATCAGATTGATCCTAAGACATGGTTGATTTTTATCGTTTAAATGCTTTAAAATAGAGAGTTTCGACTAATCCTAATGGTGATTAACGCAAGTAAGGTAGAGACACTTTAAGTAAATTGCATGGAGAAAAGCTTGATAAAGTAAATAAAAGCATTAAAGGCTTGTTAAATAAATGACTTCGACTGAGATAAATAAGTGAAAGCGATAAATTTCTTGAATGTAAAAGATTTCGATTAAGGTAAATGGTGTTTCACACATACATTCTCAATGATTCTTTCTCTCACGCTGGATACTTGAATCTAAATGAGTGACTTGTATACAATGATGAACACACTTAATAACTACGTGAACACTTAGTATTTATACTAAAAATCCTAAGTAACTGCTGGGCAGTTACATCGCTTCGTGGTGACACCACATGGCACGTTCACAATCCTCGACGCCTACTTCCACGCCACGTTGCGCTTGGTAACTGCTGGGAACCGTTTTCCCTCCAACAATTCGAAATTCAAACCGTTCGATCTTGGTCATCAGGGACCTTGGTCGAAAAGTTGCTCCTTCGACGTTGAAAACAACATGATTCCAACTTAGAGAAATTTCTCTAAGTATCTTGTCATTCTTTGATAAGCCTTCGATGTGATCAGCTGATCGAAGCCTTCTTGTGTAGGAAACTCTTCTAACTCATAATTAATTATCTATATGATAATAGAACGTGAGTGTCGAATTTAGGAGCCAACAGTATGTGAAGTATGAAGAAATGTGTGAGAGTTAAACAAGGTATGAGGTGTAAAACAAGAATGAAGTCAGAATCATTCACATCATGTTAGTATACCTTAATGCCCTTAAATGAAACATGCTTAAGAATCACACACAATACAAGTGAAATTAATGCACAATCCTCAAACAAAAGGGTCACAAAAGGCATTCAAAGTTTGATAGGAGAAAAGGATGTTAGAAGCAAAATAAAAATGTGAGAAATGAAAAACAATAGCACAAATTCAGTAGCATATGCCATGCCAAAGATTAGACTAAAACTATGCACACAAGTTCTCAAATACAAATTTTTTGATCAAGGAAAACTCTAAACATACTCCTAAGTCAAAATTAGGTTAAAAATAGGAAAATGACTTGTAAAATCATGCTAATTAAATCATAAATTCCTAAAGACCTATAAAAGTCATAATTATTTGAAGTTCTTGGATTAACTTGAAAAGGTGGGAATGATTGGAAATCACCAAGACTAGTTGGCAAAAGACTCAAACTAGAGAGATTTGACAAAATTATTTCAAAGAAAATGTAAAGTCGGGGGTAAAAATTAAAGATTGGACCTTAAAAACCAATCCACTTTTATTCTTTGTATTGTGTATTACTTAGCTATGACATTTTATCTTTTGTTAGAGGTGCATCCTATAATTTTCATATATAAGACAATAACTAAATGCATATATTTCACTATTCTATATTGAATCACAAATGAAAAAGAAAAGGTCAAAAGATCTTCCTTATGTGAAGGAACCCACCTAAAAAAGCAAAACCCCATTCTCCACCTCCATTCCCTCCACGTATACCACTTGCATGTCTCACAAAAAAATAACCCTACACCTGTCTCAATATTAACTTCACAGACACTCCACCACCATCACACTCTCCCTTTCTTTATTTCCATTTCAATATTCACTTTCCTCTTTCTCTTACAACAAAGAAACCACATTCCCAATGGCGGATCTTAACCAAACACATAGACCCGCCACCTCCTCCTCCTCCGCCGTGTTTCTAAGAAAGCTTCAAGACAACCTCCACGCATCAAACTCAACCCAAATCGCCGGCATCTTAACCCTTCTCGTCACCGGTTCCATCTTCCTCCTTCTAACAGGTTTAACCGTATCTGGTACTGTCTTCGCTCTCATCTTCTTCTCGCCGTTGATCATCGTTTCCAGCCCGATATGGGTCCCAGCTGGTACCTTCTTCTTCCTCCTCGCCGCTGGATTCTTGTCCATGATTGGATTTGGTGTCATCGCTGTCGCTTCTTCCTCTTGGTCCTACCGTTACTTTAGGGGTCTCCACCCGCCCGGTTCGGACCGGGTTGATTACGCTCGGAGCCGGATTTATGATACGGCTACACATGTTAAAGATTGTGCAATAGAATACGGTGGGTATTTGCAGAGTAAGGTCAAGGATGCAGCACCTGGTGCTTGAACCAAACCGGTTCAGTTCCCTAGTTTATACTATTATATATTTATTGAACCGGGTTTTTCTGTTGTTTTTTTCTTGTTCGTTTTCTTTGGCGTAATGTGATATTGTTGTTTGCTCTTCTAAGTAGTTTTGTATGTATTTTGAAATGGGCATGAGAAGGATCATAAGTATATTCCTTCTTCTAATGTCGAATATTCCCTCCTTTTTTTTAAATGTTGAATATATTCTGAATGTTTCTCAACTATCTTCATGGTATTTTATTTATGGAAATCAACTCTCGTTTATGCTCAATAATACAAGATATTCTCCACTTGAAATCCTAAACCCAAGTCTGACCTTTCCACCTACCAACCTCCCCCGCATAGCAAAATTTCTGCTTAGAGATAGAGAAAAGCCTAAAGAACCTAAAGAACCTAATACTAAGAGGAGCAACCCCCAACCAAGGGTCATCCAGAAAGAAGTAAGAACATCTTATCCAACTTTCTTAAGAAGTCATTCATGAAACCAATCAATCGAATAATATTAAGTATATATCTCCACCCTTCAATCAAATGAAAATAAATGAAGGGTTCAAATTCCACTATAGATAATTTGTTCTCGATGATGGGTTCATATTCCACTGCAAAAAATGTACATTATTCCCGATGTATTGGTTGGGCATGATGAGGTTGATGTCTCATATGATGTGGATAATTTTAAATTGTCTAACAGTACTCGCGATATTTGTTTGTGCAGATTTTAATGAGACTAATATTGTGGGATGAGTATGAATAGCAAATTATTTTACAAGCGAGTGGGTGATGGCATAAATAAGGAGTTGCGAATGATTATACCAAAATAAGCACGAGTAGGTGTTCTAAGACAACTTTCCCCAACACTAATAACATTATAAGAGGGGTTGGAGGAGTTTTATTTGATGTGGTGTTCTTACTTGCGGCTAGACTAGAGTCACTGAAGCAAGTGAGGAAGGTGTTCTTCCGTGAGATCAGACTGAGAGTCACTGAAGCAAGTGAGAAAGGTGTTCTTCTGTGAGGGCAGACTAGCATGTGAGGAAGATGTTCACCATGGAGTGTGCAACTAAAGAAAGGTGATACAAGAGAATGGTTTCATGTGAGGTTCAAGTTGAGCTTCTATTTCTTTAAGTCCATCATATCTTTGCAAAAAAAAAAAAGCTATTACAATTGTTAAAATTACTATTCTTAAGCTATTTGTTGCCACCTTGAGTATTGAAAAAATTAGTTTTGGATAATCAAAGATCCGACCAAAGGTTTATGGATTTAGGTGATCATTGTTAGTGGAATCAATGATGAACAAATGAATATGTTTAAGAGAGCAAAGAGAATGACGTAGATCGTAAAACGTAAACTTAATGACTAAGTTAAAAGGTGCAAACTAGGAAATATTAAACTTAAAAGTTACGTTAACAAACTTAGAACTCATAAGCTGAGTTAAACATACTTCTAGACGTAACTTCAGAAGCTTCTGCTTCTGACTAACAACAACTTCGTAATATATCAAATTGCTGCTTCTAAGTAAGCAGTCAGAAGCTGTATGCTTCTGGCTAAGAATCTTAGAAGTTCAACTGCTTCTGAGCAACAATATTTTCTAGATATGAATTACTTCTAATAGCATCCCTTAATTCATATTTAACTAACTAAAATTCTTCAACATCAATTTCATCCCTTAAACGGATAAAGTATCCAGTCTTAACATCCTTTGTCAAAACATCTACAAGTTTCTTCTAATTGCTACAGTGTGCAACTTCTAATACTTCATTTAGAAGTTCAGATTTCTCCTTGAGAACTCATCTGACATTGATTTTTTTCTTCTCCTTCGAAAGCTCAATTAACTCTCAAGTCTTGTTTTTTTCAATAGAATCAAGCTCTTCTTTTATGGCCTTCAGCCACACTTTCTTCTTGAGAGTTTCACAGGTTGATAACGCAACCACTAGTTGCTTCTTTGAGCACCAAGAAATTGGACTTTCCAGATACAAACAAAAATATCAAGAAGTATTTTTTCTGTCAACTCTGTCTTCATACCAATCAGAGTTTGGATAGCATATCAACTCTGCATCTGATCTAACACTAGAAGAGAATAACACTCCATACATGAGAGTCCCTTCAGTATGTTGTCGTTTGTCAAACTCTGCAAATCTCTTTGGTATATTTCTGACTCTATGTGACCTCTGAACTTATTCAGAATATTCTTCTGATTCTGGAATAATATCTCCTTCTGGACTTTCTTCAGAAGTTTGAATACCACCATAAGCTCCACCTTTGTTAGCTTGTGGACTCCGTTCAGAACCACTACCTTCAGAAATACCATATTCAAAAGTTGAATCACCTTCAAAAGCTATGTCTTCAAAAGTTCCACTTTCAGAATCATGATCACCGTCAAAGGCTGGATTACCTTTAGAAGCTCATTCTTCAGAAGGTCCACCTTTAGAGACATGATTTCCACCAAAAATATGATCATCTTCAGAAGCTTGTCCTCCAGAACCTACGTCTTCAGATTTTTCCCTTCTAGAACCACCACCAGATTCAAAATCTAGATCAGAATCAGATTCACCATCTGACTCATCTTTAGAGTCTCAAATAGATTCTTCATCCTCTGACTGACTCACCTTCAGAACTTTCAAGTTCTGACTCATTTTCAAAAGCAAAATCTCCTTCAGATTCTGACTCATCTTCAGAATCTTCAGCGTCATCTTCTGATTCTGACTCATATTCAAACACTCCTTTAGAGTCAAAATATTCAGAGTCATCTTCTTCTCCTTCAGAATTAGAAAATGACAATTTCACAGGTTTCTCATCAGATTCATAAGCCATTAATAACACAGGTTCATCATCAGAATCTCCTATAACTATTTTTGCTTCTTCTTTGTTTGACCAACAATCCTTAGAAAACTGACCAAACTTATTACAACAGTAACTAATCATTCTCTTGTCATACTTATCCTTTTCCTTCTGATGTTTCTTCTCATCAGAAGTAAAGGTTTCCGACTTCTAGGATCTATTGCCATGTCTATTCTTGGTTTCTGCCCAAGAATGCTTATGGTCCTTCTTGACAAAAGAAGCTTTCAGAGCCTGCTCAACCTCCCTCTCAGAAGTTCTTTCAGTCAAACATAACTCTTGCGCCTCTAGACTGCTTTACAGCTCTTCAATTCTCATGGTTTCCAAATTTTTGGAATGTTCAATTGCTACAACAATGTAATTAAATTGAGGAGTAAGAGACCTTAATATATTCTCAATGAATACTTATTCAGAAAGAGTTTCTCCACAAGCTTTCTTCTCATTAGTGATCAGAATCACTCTAGAGATGTATTCAGAAACCTTCTCGTTGTCCTTCATGTTGAGATTCTCATATTTCTTTCATAGGGACTGAAGCTTCACCTTCCTCACTGATGTGTCACCACCGTAACATATGACCAATATATCCGACGCACCCTTTGACGTTGTCGAATCTGCAATCTTCTCAAACACGTTCACATCCACATACTGATGGATGTAGAACAACTCCTTCTGATATTTCTTCCTCTTGTATCTTTTATGTATTTCTCTGCTCTTCTGTTGTGTTTTCTACAACTAGAACATGACATTCGATAACAAACTCAAGAACATCTTGAGCACCGAACAACATGCGCATCTGAATCATCTATCTTTTCCAATTCTTGCCATCAAAAACAGGAAGTTTGCTATTCAGATTACTGTTTCCGTTCATCCTTAACTTTGTACAACTCACTCAGATCTCACAAGCACAGTGTTTCCCAACCCCACAGAATCAGAAAAAATGTGATTCTGTTCAGATTTTGTTCAAGATTCAACATGAACCCAGAACCAAAATCAATCATACAAACGTCTCACATTACACTCGTGTTTCCCCGTGTTTCCCCGTGGATCAGAACTGGAGCTTTAGATACCAATTTTTAGTACACATGAATCAATGATGAACAAAGAAATATGTTTAAGAGAGCAAAGAGAATGACGGCTACAAAGTTGTAAGGAAGAATGATTGAATAATGATTGTTATTACTGTTACTATTACAAATGACAGATATCACTAGTCTATTTATATCAAGATAGCTATTAGAGTTAGTTCCTTTTTCTGTTAAGTTGTTAACTGTTAGTTACTATTTCAACAGTTAGTTACTAGTTTACCCTTTCCATTCTTAGTATATATATTAGTGGATGTAAACTACTGGAAAATATGAGATAATGCACATAATTTTTACTTTACACGTGGCGTATTCTTTTTCACTACTATGCTATTATCTCAATATCAATATGGTATCAGAGCTACCTGAGCTCTGATGACCACCGTTCCTTTTTCCTTCGCCACCGTCTCTTCCTCCCTCACCGGCGGTTTCCTTATATCATTTCTCTCCCGGTGACTATTCTGACGGTCTTCTTCTTTCTTCTCCGGCGATTCCTTCTTTTGTTTTCCATTGACGATGGATCATCCGAGCTTCTCCGATTTCGCGACAAACTCTGCTAACCCTTACTATCTTCATCCGAACGAAAGTCCGGCGCTTGTTCTCGTTGCTCCACCATTGGACAACAAGAACTACCACATCTGGTCAAGATCGATGCAAATCGCTCTGATTTCGAAGAACAAAGAGAAATTTGTTGACGGCACATTCCCAAGGCCTCAAGTTGCTGATCCTCTCTATGCACAATGGATTCGCTGCAATACAATGGTTCTTTCTTGGATTCAGCGATCAATTTCAGAATCCATTGCGAAATCTGTGTTATGGATCGACTCTGCAGCAGGCGTTTGGAAGAACCTTCGAATTAGGTTTTCTCAGAGCGACATCTTCAGAATCTCAGATATCCAAGAAGATCTGTATCGATTCCGCCAAGGTACTCTTGATGTCTCTGACTATTTTACGCAGTTGAAAGTCTTTTGGGATGAATTGGAGAATTATCGTCCCCTTCCTTTTTGCAAATGTTCAATTGCGTGTTCTTGTGATGCTGTACAATCTGCTCGTGTCTACCGTGAGCAAGATTACGTGATTCGGTTCTTGAAAGGATTGAACGAACGTTTCGCCCACTCCAAATCGCAGATCATGATGATGCAACCTCTTCCGGACATTGACAAGGCCTTCTCGCTAGTGATTCAGCAAGAACGGGAATTGAACTCCGGTACTCCCTTTACCTCCACGGAGAGTCCTTCTACTGAATCTCCTGCCACTGCTCTTCAGGTCAACACCCATACCAATGGCAAAGGAGTGTCTTACGGCAGAGGAAAAGGTCCCTATCCTGCCCTCAAAGGAGGAAATAGGGTTTGCACTCACTGCGGTCGTACGAATCACACGGTGGATACTTGTTTTGTGAAACATGGATATCCTCCGGGCTATAGACAACGCACCAAAACTCATCAAACTAGCCAAAGTCAGTCTCATGTTCAAGCTAACAACACTACACAAGCTGCTGATTCAACTGTAGGATCATCCACATCCACGTTTGGGTTTACTCAGGAGGAACTTCAGAATCTCCGAGCCTT